TCCAGTAGGTAAGTAGGAATAAAGATCGAACTTTTTAATCCCCCCCCACCCCCTGCTGAAAAATCATTATAGTTAATAATAATGTATGATATTTGTAACCAATCGTATTATGATACATAGTTATGTATCACTGAAGACGCATGACGACCTAAAGCTATTTATAAATCTATCAACGAAATAATGGTTAAAATTACGATTTTGATTTTTTATCTTTTTTTATTGATATATAAAAAAATTCGACGGAGAAAGAACCCCGTTTTAAGTTGTAAATAACAATAAAAAATATAGTAAATAATACAAAAGATTTGTGGCTTTTATATATTTTTGTATTCTATTCGAAGCCATGATATATACAATTTGTATACTCGTCTATCCGAGTCTCTTTCATTGTGGTCCTGTGGATAACCCTGTATATAATAATATACTGTTATAAACAAGGTGTTTACTAGGTCTACAGAACCCAATTTGTACCAATTAATTCTTATATATTGCTGGAGGGTGTAGGTTACGCAAGACAATTTCTTAAATAAGAAAGATATAAGGAAACAGTTTTAATCCTTGATAAAGTGCCAAATCCTACTGATTAAAATTTAAACCCAAATAAAACTAATTTCAAAACTGGCATTTAGTATTTACGAAGTGGCACAGCTCTATGATTTCTATCAAATGAGTCTTTGCTTCTTAAAACTCCATTTACATGTGGAGTGGCATCCAAAAGGATAACCTTTAACTTTTCATCTGATTGATACTCTTTTTTTTGGAAAAACACCTAGGATTTTTCATTAATCAGAAAATAGTTTATTTGGACAAAAACCAAGGATTTATCATTGTTCAGACAATAGTTTATTTTACATTTTTTTTAATCGGACAAAGTCTATTTTACCAACCAAGGTCAATTGAAATTTAGGCAACGGTCCCATTAAAATAGTTGAAATACTCTCAACTTTATTCTTGGTTACTTGAAAAACAAGCTGAATGTAAGACGTGTTCCTAGTTTTTTATCGTTTGTTCCTTTCTGTTTGTTCCCGTGAAAAAACTATCGTTCCCCAGGAACGACGCACAGTCCTTCATCTGGGCGTGTTTTCATCGTTCGTTCTGTTCCGTTCGTTCCCGCGAAAGAACGATCGTCCTAGAGGAACGACGCCCAGTCCTAGTTGAGTGTATTTAACTAGAAACATTTGACAAAAACCAAATAATAACAAATCATAATAAATTGAATCTAAATAAGTTATCAATAGTGATTCCGATTTTTAACAAAAAAAACTGATCACTCCAAAAAACTCTAATTTAACGATCCCTATATCATTGCAACCTGATTGTATAAACCTTTGATATTCCAGAATTTGACTATATGTGCTAGCTGAAATCATCTGATGGTAATAATGTTGGTAATAATGTCTGTAATAATTCTTTGTTTACCTTAAATGTCGAAGCAAAAAGTAATTTTCATCCCTATAATTTTTCAACCAAATGGCGAAAACCTTAGATATTTCAAACTAAAAATTTCGAAATCTTTTTGTCAAATTTTATGTTAAGATACTTTTTTTATATTTTGCTGTTGCCTACTAATAATAATATAAAATATAACATTTTGACAAAATTTTCTGAGAATTCATCTAATTGGCTTCGAAAATCTATTGGTTCTCTGCAAATTCGAAAAAAAATTGAGACATTTTGGAAACTCTTGCTTTCGAATTTTTAATCTGACAGTTTTTTGAGCATATGAAACGTATTATGATAAAAGTTAAAAAATCTTGGCAACAATTTTATTTCGAAATTGCGAAGAAATGTACGCGAAAAATATTGAAATTTCAGTAAAAGGATTTTTTTGCAGATGTGTTGTCTAAAGATGTGTTTGTGTTGTCTAAAGATGTGTTGTCTAAAGATGTGTTGTGTTGTCTAAAGATGTAAGTTTAAATAATAAAAAGAAAAAATTTGATTCCTTAATCAGGTTTCAGAAAATTAAACGCACAAAGAATGGAAACTTGAAAGAAATTTTTACATTTCGTCAGAATAAATAAAGTACTCTAGTGTTTAATAAAAGGGACAGTATACGTACTTGTGAATGAAACTGTCTGATTCACAATAGTACCCTCACAAGCTTTGTTTAACAGAAAATGATACCCATGAAAGATACTTATTATTTTAACTTTGAAAATTGATTAATTTCAACTATGGGTTCTTTAAAAAGTGACTTGCTATTAACAGAAACAACGGACGGAAAGAAATAGAAAATTACGACAACTATCTTAACATGATCGATCATAGAAGGTACCGTTGTGAATCAGACATGATACAGTTTTTTTGTTTTTTTTTAATGAAGAGTTACTATAATAAAGTACAATGACTGCTCCTTTAAAGATTGTATGTCATGGAATTGGATTTAAATATGGTTTGGTTTCAAAGAGTTTTCTTATATTTGTATTTTGTAAGGTCAGTCTATAGTAAACTAAACTTTTATGATTGTTTGACCATAAATATTTCCAAGTCAACTTGTTCAAATTCAACACATTTTGAATAGAAAAGAACTATATGAAATATCAGGTTGCAAAGATAAAGGGATTTAAAAATTATAGTTTATGGCAATTTTTCAGTTGGCCATGGGTTGCGTCTGCAGCTTGCAGGTATGAATTTATCCCTGAATAACTCCTCGTAATGTCGTATTACATATTTAAGATCAAATGCCGCGGAAAAATGAGTTTAATAT